GTTAAATATTTGCTATTAACAATATTCTTCCATATTCTCTGTGGATCGACCCCGACTCATAGTTGGATAAATATATTGCATACGATTGTTTATATATCTTTTCAAGAAGTATATTTGGACGTTATCAAGAATGGCGCCGTTGCCGGGGAATGTGGCTTAGAAATTGTCTTTAGTATTTATTTTGACTTGTAGTCGTTTTTTTATTTTTTTATGATTAGTTTTAAATTAATTTTTTTATCATCATATTTTTTTTCACTCTTCTTGAGATGTCATCTGAAAAAATATGTAGTGACAAGTGTTCTCGCAATTCATGTACTTCTGATATTATGGATTCTTATAGGTTAATTTTTTCTCAACAAGATAAGTTGTATGGGGACATGGAAGATTTGTTAATACTTTGCTATAAATCAATATGTAAGCGCATGCTTGAAGATATATTTGGTTTTGATCTCTATTAATTAAATTGTGAGTTGAGTGCAAATATTGAATCATATGACACCCAACAATTTAGTAATAATATGTGTGAGGAATAAAAAATACTTATAAGTCAACTTGAAGAGCTAAAAGTTGAGGGCGAATTGGTTGATCATACTTTTATTGATGTTGCCATTGTTGAGAAGAGTACACTAGAGTTATGTTATGAAGTAGATAATATTATTTTAAAAAACTCTAGTATGTGCAAATATGAGGGTGTAAATAATAGTACAATTTATAAGTTAAATCGCATTGGACCTCATTCCAATCATTTTTCCACATTATGTTTAGATGATGAGATAGTAATCGAGCCATCTGAGCCTATAGAAGAGTGTATGGAGGAGGAACAATGTGTCTATATTCTTGAATTTATTATTTCAACATCGAAGAATTACATTCCTCACTTAGGATCCAAGAAGTGCATAATGCGATATCTATTGCTTGGGACCTTTATTTTTGTTTCACCACCCCTTGAGCGTAATAGAAAAATTGATGCAAAATTAGAGGTGCAATTTATATCTTCAAAGTGGAAGAAAAAAAGTAAAATTGATGGTATCGTGCCGCGACGTTAAATCAAGCGCTTATTGGGAGACAACCCAATTCGTAGTGTAACTTCTTATTTTTATTTTATTAATGTCACTTTTTTTCTTTTGGTCTTATTTTTGCAGATTTGGGGAAGTCTGAGTACCCAAAAATTTGAAGCAAACGAGCACGTTTGAGATTAAGTGTGGGATGCGTACGACCCTTGATGAAAATAAAGAGAACATGCTACTAGCTAGGCCTAGAGGCCTCAGGAGTTTTTCTAACCATTGTTTTAAATTTTTTTTGATGCTTTGGGGACATAGCATCTTCTCAAGTGTGGGGTGGAGGAATGAATTCCTATTTTTTTTTACTATTTTTATTGAGTCTTCATATTTTTAGGATGGGTTCCTTGACTTTTGTTTTTGGTTCTTTTCTTGAGGATAGTCCCTTTGAACCGAGTGTCTTTTATTTTTTAGGAATAATCTTTCTTTTAATTTTTTTTTTGAGAGAAAAGAAAAGGCCCTTTTGAGTGGTGTGATACTTGCTATTTAAGCCTAATTTTTGAGTAGTACTTTCTTATGAATGCTTGATTGATAAGGAAATTGCAGACTCTTGGACACCTAAGCTCATGATTGTGACTTTGTATATAGTTTATTTTATTTTATAGGTTGTAATGATCTTGTCCATCTTAGAAGTAGAATTGATCCATCTTGATTGAGACTTGTGCCATGTGTGGTGAGGTTGTTTGCATCTATTCCATGTTTGCATCTTAGTCTAGAACTTGCCCTACATGTTATTGAAGCGAAATAAAAATTATTGCTTTGTTTAGGAGATGATAATAGACTTTCTTTGCCTTTTCAGATATTATATCACTAGTAAAGCCCCATTGAGCCTGTCAACCTTAATTTTTCTTTAAACCGCATGATTGAGTCGAATCCCTTTATGTTGATATCATAAGTATTCGATCCTAATGTAATCTTTAATGAACTATGTTGAGAAGAAAAGTTGAAAACATAGGTAGAAGTGGAAAAAGGTGAAAATGCTTGATGTGTGAAGAATGAAGAAAAGTGTGAAAACTTTGTTTTGGCCCTGGTCCCTTGTGGATATTGTGCACCTTAACCAGGCATAAAAACTTAAGTTGAGGGTGGCTAATTCAGAAGTTTGCTTAAAACGTTGGACTTGGTCCCACCAAGGATATTGTATACCTCACTTGAGCCTCAAAGCCTTGAGTTGAGGGTGGCTAGGTCAAAGCCTCTGGAAAAATAAAAGATTGAAGCATTCTTGTGAAATGAGCATTACTTGTGAAATAATTGTTGAAGAGAGGGCTGAAAATAAAGAGAAAAAAATAATGGGTGATAAAGTCTTGAAGTGCAAAGTGTTTAAGGAAGTATAAGTCACTATTATATTGTTTTTCTACCCTTCTCTTAGCCCACATTACAACCCAGTAAAGTCTTATTTGATTCTATTCAAGCATGGTTAATTAGTGGAGATGTACATAATGGGCAAGCCTATGGTTCGTTGTGCATAAATGTGAATTCTTTTGTGAGTGAGAGAGTTGTTCTTCGATACTTAGTCCTTAACTTATATTCAATCTTTTGAATTGAGTGTGTGGACTATTTCTTCTTGTTAGGGCACTTGTTTCATGATAGATATGTGATTTTATTAGCTTTCTTTGATGAGAGTAGGTGAGCAAGCTTAAATTTGATGAGTTCAAAGTTCTACCTTGAGGTTAGGAGGTTAGAGGTTTGTTGTTTATTTGGATGTCTTGCCTAATGATTGAGAAGTCTATTTGAAGTTTTGAAATTGGTATGTGACCTAATTGTTTGTATTAATCAAAGTGATGGCATCCTATTTTGATTTTTTTTAAGATGAGATTTAATGTTTGCTCGAGGACGAACAAAAGTTTAAGTGTGGGGTGTTGATGTGAGGCCAAAATACATATTTTTAATCATTATTTACCTCACATTTATTATTTATATTTATTTATTTGAGCGTAAATTTTATGGATTGTGCTAAATAGTATATTTTATTTGAAGGAATAAATTGACATAAAATTAAAGAAATTTGAAGCTAAAACAAATTAAAGAAGAAAAGTTGAAGAACAAAATCAAACAGATAACTTAATAGATTAAATTTAATAAAATAATATATTTATACATATGAGCAGTAAGCGAATTGCAATTGCCTACTGCTGCCACGTGTCAGCAGCTGGAGGGCTCTTAATTTTGAGGCGGCAAACGGTTCCAGCAACACGAAATAAAAAGACGGAAAACCCAATTTGATTTCCTAAGTCTTGAAGTCAATTATTTTATTTAGGGTTTCTATATCTATAAATAGTATATGAAAAATTATTTTTTGGGGGGAAGAATCAAGAAACAATACACAATATAAATTTTATTCTAGCTTAGGAACTTTGGAAGAGTCGCCATAGAGACCGGAGAATTGTGGTTTACTCTTTCTTCTCCTTTATTATTTATTTGTATTCGTGATTAGTAAAAGATAATTTAGCTATTGTTCTTGAATTTTTATGATTAACACAAGCATATTTATTTTAATAAATTTTAATTATTTTTTTGATATAATGAGTAGCTAAATTTCATAACTAGGGTTGTGGGAATCATGATGAATTATTAAAGTAAATTTATGTACAAAGTGATTCTTGAATGATTTTTATGCATGTATTGTTAATCCTTTCGTTTAGAAGTCTTTTTAACGGTGACCAACATTAGAACCCACCTCGTTCCTACATGCCGGACCAAGGAAGTAATGAATGAGAAAAGGATTAAACATCAGAGATTTAGTGGATGCTATCGAATTTTCTAATGTCAATTGGTGCGAGGGTAAAAACTAAGGCATACATTGATGTGATGTTTAATCTGAAGTAAAGGTAAGAGTTAGTAAAGTATACACTCGTAGCCGGACCAAGGTGCGTAGTGAAATTCCCTATTTGGAGGACCAATTACTTAGGGATACCTAACTTACCAACCTTGCATGCTAAAAATTGAAATAGATCACTAGTACAATATTCTTGCTATTTTATGACATCATTGGGAACACATTTCTAGTTATTTCTAATAATCTGGATATAAATAAATATTTAATTCAAAGCTATTTTTATTCTTTTTATTTTTGTTTCAATTTAAATCCCCCCATTTTTAAATAATAACTAGCGAGTTAAATATTTGTTGTTGACAATATTCTTCCATATTCTCTGTGGGATCGACCCCGACTCATAGTTGGGTAAATATATTGCATACGATCATTTATATTTCTTTTCAAGAAGTATATTTGGACGTTATCAGGAAGGCGTATTGAGAATTAAGGGGCTGGTGTGTGCCCTGTGTTGATGATTTGACTCATACTATTCTTGCAGAGGCTCATAGTTCGAGGTATTCTATACATCCTGGTGCAACCAAGATGTATTGTGATCTAAAACAACATTATTGGTGGAGTAAAATGAAGCGTGACATTTTTTATTTTGTTGCCCAATGCCCGAACTGTCAGTGGGTAAAGTACGAGCATCAGAGGCTTGGGGGGACACTTCAGAGAATGCCCATTCTTGAATGGAAGTGGGAAAGAATTGCAATGGATTTTGTGGTTGGTCTTCCAAGGATATTGAGTAAGTTTGATTCTATTTGGGTAATTGTTGAAAGGTTAACTAAGCTTGCTCACATTATTCTGGTGAAGATGACTTACAATGCAGAGAAGTTAGTCAAACTCTATATCTGTTAGATTGTTCGATTGTATGGAGTTCCAATCTCCATCATATCAGATAGAGGTACACAATTTACTTCTAACTTTTGGAGGACCTTGCAAGATGAATTAGGTACTAGATTGGATCTTAGTACCGCATTCCACCATCAAACCAATGGGCAGTCTGAGCGAACAATTCAAGTACTGGAGGATATGTTTTGTGCGTGCGTGATAGATTTTGGTGGTCATTGGGATCAGTTCTTACCCTTGGCAGAGTTCTTGTACAACAATAGCTATCACTAAGTATTGATATGGCCCCATTTGAGGCATTGTATGGGAGAAGATGTAGGTCTCCCATTGGTTGGTTTGATGAATTTGAGGAGAGACCTTGGGGTACCAATCTTTTGAGTGAATCGTTAGAGAAAGTGAAATTCATACCGAAGAAGCTTCTAGCAGCTCAGAGAAGGCAGAAGGAGTATGCAGATCGGAAGGTCAGGGACTTGAAGTTTATGGAGGGTGAGCAAGTCCTGCTGAAGGGTTCACCCATGAAGGGTGTGATGCGGTTTGGTAAGCGAGGTAAGCTTAGTCCGAGGTACATTGGGCCATTTGAATTTCTTAAGCGTGTGGGGGAGGTGGCCTATGAATTGGCCTTGCCTCCAATCTTGTCGGGAGCGCACCTGGTATTTCATGTGTCTATGCTGAAAAAACACCATGGTGATGGAAACTACATTATTCGTTGGGATTCAGTCCTGCTCGATGAGAATCTATCTTATGAGGAGGAGTCTATAGCTATTCTAGATAGGGAGGTCCGCAAGTTGAGGTCAAAGGAGATTGCATCTATCAAGGTTCAGTGGAAGAATCAGCCAGCTGAAGAGTTCACTTGGGAGAGTGAGGTTGATATGCATGAAAGTTATCCACAGCTTTTTATCGATTCAGGTACCCTTCGTTAACCTCACCTTCTTTTTAATCGTTCAAGAACGAACGATGGGTACATTGGTATCTGATGTAACGATCCATTTGGTCGTTTTGAGCACTATAGCTTTTTATTTCATAAAATACTTTCCGATAGATTCTAAATGGGTATTTTGGACTATTCGTAACTACAATTATGAAATTAGTAGGGTAGTTTTAATAATTAATTTAGTTGGTGGTTACAGAAGATAAAATTAAAATTAATAGAGGGTCACTTTCACCACTCTTATAATTAGTCATATAATAATTAGGGTAAAAATAATCTGTAGAAGAAAAGAAAAGAACGAAAGAGGAGAATAACATAAAGCAGCATGAACGAAAGAAGAACGTGAATGACTTAGACTTCAGGTAAATCATCCGCCAAAAAATTGTATTAGGAATATTGGTATGAATTATAGTATTATCGTTAGTATTATAATTTTGGGGGGGAAATCAAATTGTGGGTGTTAGAAAATTGGACGTCATTAGATTGGAAACTGGAAAAGTGGTTAACATTAGTAAAAATTGATGGAAACTTTGTTTGGTAGTCCATGTGAATTCTTGAAAAAGAATTTCCTAATGGCTAACTTCAGTGGTATGATGGCAATGGTTAAAGGGTACGAAAATTGAGGTGTTAAATTTATATATGTGAATGTGGGTACAACTAATGACTAATATAATTAGGAATTTTAGTTTCTAATTGAGGCCAATGATTTGATATTGTTGTTGGAATATTGTATAGAAGTGTACTCATGGAATCTGGGTGTCGTCAGGCGTATGATTGAGGTTTGGCTGCCACTGGTTTCATAACCAGTGGCTTCAAACGTTTAATAATAATATTCTATTCTCATATTATAAATTATATTTCGACATATTGAGATAGCTAATTAAATATAAGGTGTATTATATTAATTGAATACCATTAAGGTTATGCAAATTGGAAGAATTAAGTCTTACCCTTAGGTTTGAACTTTGTGAGATTGATTATAGAGTTAGGTGAATTTTTAGGTCTAGGTTAGACATACAATAATATGAGTGTTTATAGACTCGTTAACTTACAAATTATGCATATATATTTGATAGATTGGAAAGGTACGGAGACTTTGAGGAAAGGAAAAGTATTGGAGAAGTAGCTTGCTTGACTTCGGTTCTTCAGTGAAGGTAGATCACGGTTTATTCTATTTGATAGATAGACTCTTAATAGTGATTGATATGCAGTGAGTGATATTGTGAAGTTCTCTATGTACTTGATTGTGTGGTTGTGTGGCTTGGTTGTGTGGTTTGTGATTGGTCTGAAATTCTGAGACCGTGAAATTTATAATCTTGAACCCTCTCTATCGAAGTGATGCCTTGAATAAAGAAGGCTTGATGAAATATTGTTAATGAAGTGAAAAGTGGTGATAATAAATGATACATTAACGATATATTGGATCGGATGCCACGAGCCGTCATGATATTATTTGATCGGATGCCACGAGCCGGCATGATATTATTGGATCGAGTGTCATGTTCCAATACGGTAATATTAAAGGAAAACATATATATAACGTAATGTACTCAATCTCAAAGAACTCAATTGCCAAAATGGCTTGGTTTGGAGGCATGAGTCCTCATGTGTGATCTTGATATTGTTGACTGATTATGTACTTACTTTAGTGTTGTTGTCACTGGTTCATGTTGTTTGTTGCTTGCCACCTGCTAAGTGTCATAGTTGATTTTATATTATTATTCATTACATATTAGTTTCTATTTTGGGTTGGCCGATGATACCTACTCAGTACATGATCCCTGTACTGACCCCTACATGTATTTTCTTCGTTTCCTTTTGTGGAGTACAACAAGTATACCATCGACTTCGACTCGCCCTTAGTTCTAGCCAATCTCCTGCTCATCATATTTCAGGGTGAGCTACTCCTTCTAGCTCATGCTGGATTCTCTCGGTCATGGCATGATGTCTTTAAATTTCGGATATAGACCATCTTATTTACTTATTTTGGTGTCTTTAATACTCTTAGACTTGGTATTTTGAAAATAGATGTCCTTGATGTGATGAATTTTAGGTTTTAGGTATAATATGTAATAGACTTTAGAGGTTTCTTTATTTGATTGGTTACTTTAAAAAGTTTTGAGTTTCCGCGTTATTGTTGTTATTCGTGGTTGAACAATTGATATAATTTGAGGTTGAATTTGTTGGTTCGTTCACTTAGGAGGTTAAGTGTGGGTGCCACTCATGACTAGTTTTGGGTCGTGACAAGGTGTTTTGATATACTTTTCTTGATTCTTATATCTTTCGGACATTTATGAGGAAAAAAATAATATTTTTGTTATTTTTCGGACAGTTACGAAAAAGAGTTAAGTTTTGTTCATTTTTTTGTTTCGATATTCTACGGCCATTGGTGCAGTTTCAGAATTTTTTGAGCTGTTTTGATGCACTTTTCTTGATTTTTATATCTTTCGGAAATTTATGAGAAAAATTAATTTTCTTTAGGATAGTTACAAAAAAAAGTATGATGTTCATTTTTTCATTCCGACATTCTAAGGTCATTGGTAAAAATTGAGAACTTTTTGAGGTATTTTGATATACTTTTCTTGATTTTTATATCTTTCAGACATTTACAAGGAAAAATTAAAAAAATTGCTATTTTTTGGACAGTTGCGAAAAAGATTAAAGTTTTGTTCAATTTTTCGTTTCGATATTCTAAGGTCATTGGTGCACTTTGAGCATTTTTTGTGGTGTTTTGATGTACTTTTCTTGATATTTATATCATTTGGACATTTACGAGGAAAAAATAATTTTTTGTTGTTTTCAGACAGTACGAAAAAGAGTAAAGTTTTGTTCATTCTTTTGTTTTGATATTCTTAGGTCATTGGTGAAGTTTGAAATTTTTTTGAGGTGTTTTGATGTACTTTTCTTGATTTTTATATCTTTCGGACATTTATGAGGAAAAATGAATTTTTTTGTTATTTTTCAGACAGTTACGAAAAAGAGTAAAGTTTTGTTCATTTTCTTGTTTCGATATTCTAATATCATTGGTGCAGTTTGAAATTTTTTTGAGGTGTTTTCATGTACTTTTCTTGATTTTTATATCTTTCGAATATTTACGAGGAAAATAAATTTTATTGTTATTTTTCAAACACGTATGAAAAAAAGTAAAGTTTTGTTCATTTTTTCGTTTCGATATTTTTAGGTCATTGCTGTAGTTTGAAAATTTTTTGAGGTATTTTGATGTACTTTTCTTGATTTTTATATCTTTCATACATTTACGAGGAAAAAGTAATTTTTTTGTTAATTTTCTGACAATTATAAAAAACTGTAAAGTTTTGTTCATTTTTTCGTTTTGATATTCTAAGGTCATTGATCTAGTTTGATAATTTTTTGAGGTGTTTTGATGTACTTTTCTTAACTTTTATACCTTTTGGACATTTATGAAGAAAGAAAAAAAAATTGTTATTTTTCGGACAGTTACAAAAAAAGAGTAAAGTTTTGTTCATTTTTTTCGTTTCGATATTCGGTCATTAGTGCAGTTTAAGAATTTTTTGAGGTGTTAAGATGTACTTTTCTTGATTTTTATATCTTTCGGACAATTACGAGGAAAAAATAAATTTTTTGTTATTTTCTGGACAGTTCCAAGAAAGGGCAAAGTTTTGTTTCATTTTTTCATTTCGATATTCTAAGGTCATTGGTGCAGCTTGAGAATTTTTCATGTGTTTTGATGTATTTTTCTTGATAGTTATATCTTTCCGACATTTACAAGGAAATACTAAATTTTTAGTTATTTTTCGGATAGTTACAAAAAAGAGTAAAGTTTTGTTCATTTTTTCGTTTTGATATTCTAAGGTCATTGGTGTAATTTGAGAATTTTTTGAGGTGTTTTGATGTACTATTCTTGATTTTTATATCGTTCGGACATTTACGAGGAAAAAATATTTTTTTTAATTCTTCGGACAGTTACAAAAAAAGAGTAGAGTTTTGTTCATATTTTCGTTTCGATATTCTAATATCATTGGTGCAGTTTGAGAATTTTTTGAGGTATTTTGATGTATTTTTCTTTATTTTTATATCTTTCAAACATTTACGAGGAAAAAATGTATTTTTTGTTATTTTTCGGACAGTTACTAAAAAGAGTAAATTTTCGTTCTTTTTTCGTTTCGATATTCTAAGGTCATTGGTGCAGTTTGATAATTTTGTGAGGTGTTTTATTGTACTTTTCTTGACTTTTATATCTTTCAAACATTTATGAGGAAAAATTATTTTTTTGTTATTTTTCAAAGAGTTACGAAAAATTGTAAAGTTTTGTTTATTTTTTCGTTTCGATATTCTAAGGTCATTGGTGCACTTCGAGAATTTTTTTGAGGTGTTTTGATGTACTTTTCTTGATTTTTATATCTTTCGGATATTTACAAAGGAAAAATCAATTGTTTTGTTATTTTTCGGAAAATTACGAAAAAGAGTAAAGTTTTGTTCATTTTTTTCATTTCAATATTCAACTGTCATTCGTGCGGTTTGAGAATTCTATGAGGTATTTTGATGTATTTTTCTTGATTTTTAAATCTTTCGGACATTTACGGAGAATTTTTTTTTTGTTGTTTTTCCGACAGTTATGAAAAATAGTAACGTGTTGTTCATTTTTTCGTTTCGATATTCTAAGGTCATTGTTGCAGTCTGAAACTTTACTTTTTTCGTAACTGTCCAAAAAATTCATTTTTTTCTCATAAATGTTCGAAAGATATAAAAATCAAGAAAAATACATCAACACACCTTAAAAAATTCTCAAACTGCACCAATGACCTTAAAATATCGAAACGAAAGAATGAACAAAACTTTAATCTCTTTCGTAACTGTTTGGAAAATAACAATAAAAATAATTTTTCCTAGTAAATGTCTGAAAGATATAAAAATTAGGAAAAGTACATAAAAACACCTCAAAAATGTTCGAAAGATATAAAAATCAAGAAAAGTACATCAACACACCTTAAAAAAATTCTCAAACTGCATCAA